GGGGGGTCCAGGGGCACTGGGGGTTTGGGGGGTCCGGGGGAACCGGGGGGTTTGGGGGGGTCCCCCTTGGGCCGGGGGGTCTGGGGATGCTCCAGGGCAGCTCTGGGGGGCTGACGCTGTCCCCCCAAAGCCGGGGGGATTTGGGGACACCCTGGGGACACCCTGGGGCCACTGGGGATGCTCTGGGGACACTGGGGACACCCTGGGGACACCCAGTGACACCCAGTGACCCTCGGGTCTGACGCTGTCCCATGGAAACCAGGGGGATTTGGGGACACCCTGGGGACACCTGGTGACATCCAGTGACACCCGGTGACCCCGGTGACCCCGGTGACCCGGTGACCCCGGTGACCCGGGTGTGACGCTGTCCCATGGGAGCCAGGGGGATTTGGGGACACCCCAGTGACCCCGGTGACCCGGGTGTGGCGCTGTCCCATGGGAGCCAGGGGGATTTGGGGACACCCCAGTGACCCCGGTGACCCGGGTGTGGCGCTGTCCCATGGGAGCCAGGGGGATCTGGGGACCCCCGGTGACCCGGTGACCCGGTGACCCGGTGACCCCGGTGACCCGGCGTGGCGCTGTCCCATGGGAGCCAGGGGGATTTGGGGACCCCCGGTGACCCCGGTGACCCGGTGACCCCCGTGACCCGGCGTGGCGCTGTCCCATGGGAGCCAGGGGGATTTGGGGACCCCTGGTGACCCCGGTGACCCCGGTGACCCGGTGACCCCCGTGACCCCGGCGTGGCGCTGTCCCATGGGAGCCAGGGGGATCTGGGGACCCCTGGTGACCCCGGTGACCCCGGTGACCCCGGTGACCCGGTGACCCCCGTGACCCCGGCGTGGCGCTGTCCCCAGCACATGCTGGCCATCGGCAGCCTGGAGCACTCGTACATCGTGCGCCTGCTGGGGATCTGCCCGGGCCCGCAGCTGCAGCTGGTGACGCAGCTGCTGCCGCTGGGCTCGCTGCTGGCCTACGTGCGCAAGAACCGCGCCAGCATCGGGCCCCAGCTGCTGCTCAACTGGTGCGTGCAGGTGGCCAAGGTCGGTGCCGGGGCTCCTCGCCGCCTCTGGGTCCCAGAAACGGGGAGAGAAGGGGTTGGGGGGATCCTCGGCTTCCTTCTGTCCTAGAAACGGGGAGAGAAGGGTTTGGGGGGATCCTCGGCTTCCTTCTGTCCTAGAAATGGAGAGAGAAGGGTTTGGGGGGATCCTTGGCTTCCTTCTGTCCCAGAAACGGGGAGAGAAGGGGTTGGGGGGATCCTCGGCTTCCTTCTGTCCTAGAAATGGAGAGAGAAGGGTTTGGGGGGCTCCTCGCATTCCTTTGGTCCTAAAATTGGAGAGAGAAGGGTTTGGGGGGATCCTTGGCTTCCTTCTGTCCTAGAAACGGGGAGAGAAGGGTTTGGGGAGCTCCTCACCGCCTTTTGGTCCCAGAAACGGGGAGAGAAGGGGTTGGGGGGATCCTTGGCTTCCTTCTGTCCTAGAAATGGAGAGAGAAGGGGTTGGGGGGATCCTCACCTTCCTTCTGTCCCAGAAACGGAGAGAGAAGGGTTTGGGGGGATCCTCACCTTCCTTCTGTCCCAGAAACGGGGAGAGAAGGGTTTGGGGGGCTCCTCGCATTCCTTCTGTCCCAGAAATGGAGAGAGAAGGGTTTGGGGGGCTCCTCGCATTCCTTCTGTCCTAAAAATGGAGAGAGAAGGGGTTTGGGGGCGCTCCTCGCCTTCCTTCGGTCCTAAAAATTGAAAAAGAAAAGGGTTTTGGGGGAATCCTGCTGATTCATTCTGTCCCAAAAACCAAGAGGTTAAATGGGGATGAGGGTTTGGGGGGCTCCTGTCTATCCCTGCTGTCCTCAAGGCTGAGGGTGAAGGGTGTTGGGGTGGTTCCTTATTTTATAAATTTAATATAATAATATAATATAACATAATATAATAGATTACATTACTTATTTTACCTACATAACATTATGTTATATTACATTACTTTATATTATATGATGGTTATATAACATAATGCAATGTAGGTAAAATAAGTACTATAATATAATCCATTATATTATATTACTTGTTTTACCTGCATTACATTATATTATATTGTTTTATATATATATGATATGATATGATATGATATGATATGATATGATGATATGATATGATTGATATGATATGATTCTATTCTATTCTATTCTATGATTATGATTTATATTATATTATATTTAATATTATATTATATTATATTATATTATATTATATTATATTATATTATATTATATTATATTATATTATATTATATTATATTATATATACATCAATACATAATTATCAACACAATACAACCAACACAACACTTGCAATCCACAATAATGCAAATAATACCCCTCTACACCCCTAAAACAACACTCCCCATCCCCCAGAACAACACATACAACAACACAATCTTTTATAATTTTTTTTTAATACCCAAATACCGATTATTTTATCGACAAACCCCCCAAAATCCCCTTTTCCACGCGCTGCGGCCGCAGGGCATGTACTACCTGGAGGAGCACCGCATGGTGCACCGCAACCTGGCGGCGCGCAACGTGCTGCTGAAGTCGCCCAGCCAGGCGCAGGTGGCCGACTTCGGCATCGCCGACCTGCTCTACCCCGACGACAAGAAGTACTTCTACAACGAGCTCAAGGTGGGCGCGCGGGGACACGGGAAACGGCGTTGGGGACACGGGAAACGGCGTTGGGGACACGGGAAAATGGCATTGGGGACATGGGAAATGGCATTGGGGACATGGGAAATGGCATTGGGGACACGGGAAACGGCGTTGGGGACACGGGAAAATGGCATTGGGGACATGGGAAATGGCACAAATGGCATTGGGGACATGGGAAATGGCATTGGGGACATGGGAAATGGCATAAATGGCATTGGGGACAGCAAAATGGCACTGGGGACACGGGAAA